ATGCTGATGTGTGACGTCTGTCCAGAGACAGCCCTGTGCCCCGCAAGGAGCCCGCGTCTCCCTGGGCGCAACGCCCACCCTCCAGGCCCAGACCCCGGGTCCTGCAGGGCGGGAAGGGAATATTCGGCCACCGTTGTCTTGGGCACCGTCCTGACTCAGTTTCCTGCAGCCAGATGTGGGGGGCAGGGGCACAAGACAAGTACCAGCACCCAGGGAGCCTGTGGGGTTCTGGACGGGACCCCATTTGGGAGAAGAGTGGGCACAGTGAAGCAGGCTTGGTCCCCGGTGTGTCCCTAAGAACAGGGCTGCGGGCGGGCGGGCGGGCTCACAGAGGACCCCTTGGGAAGCGGCAGGCCTTCGGGGGGTCGCGTGCCGGAAGCCACGTCCTCTCCGACAGGCCAGCGGACTCCTGGCTCCTCTCGTTCCGTGAGGTTCCCATTTGGACGTCGCAGCTGAGCACAGAGACCCGTTGTTACAGAGGGGAGGTGACCTGTGGCTGGCGGTCCTCGGGCAGTGCCGCCAGCACCCGCCCTCCCCCCCCCGTGGAAGTCTTCGAGGGACACCCACGGTCTTTGCTGAGCAGCTGCCCGTGAATAATAATTTGTAATCGTGGCCCCGTGTTACAAGTCCAGCTTGCCGTGCACAGACTGACAAAATGACTGCTTGAGCCAACGGGTCTTTTTCCCCAGCGTTAGCCATGTTGTTTTAGGGATCTCTCCCCCGCTTCAAGGTGGCATGCTGGCTGCGGGGTGGGCGGAGTAAGGTTCACCCCACCCCTGTCGTTTGGGAGGTGTCTGTCCCCTGGCATGGCGGGGCCGGGAGGGGGCCGTCAGCAGCTCCTCCAGACCTCTGCGTGGGGCAGGAAGGGCAGGAATTAACAGCCTCGCCAGCCCGGGGAAGGCAAGCAGGCAACTGCGAGACCCGGCAGAGTGGGGTCAGTGAGCACCTGAACCCGGCGCGCCGGGGCCTCCCGCAGACTCCCCACCGCCCGCCCGACGGACGCAGGAAGCAGAGGACTTGAGCAGAGCCGAGGGCCGTCTCCCCGAGCCTCCCACCCCCAGCTTCCCCACGCACTGAGAGCCTGTGACTGGCCGCTGTTGTTTTCTCTCGGGTACTGACTGTCCTGCTCTTTGGACCATCCGTCTGAGCACACTGTCTGGGTCCCTGTGCTTGAGTGTCACCGTGATGGGCCGTGAACGATGCTCCTTGCTATTCCAAGAGCCCTGACTGACTGATGGAGACAGCTAGTGTCTCTTGGGCCACGCAGGAGTCTGAGAGAGGGTGGCCAGGACAGCCTTGAGCTGGGGGTCCCGGTGAGACCGCCACGGGGTCTGAGTTCATGGACTAGACTCTGTGTGCCCTCGCTTTACGAAGTGGTCGCCTGTCGTGAGATCTACGTTGTAGACACAACCTACACGGAGAACTACGTGTGTAGACATTTTTTAAAATGGAAATGTGCATCCCAACGTTTTCTCGATGCTGCTGCCCAGTGGAAAGGAGAGGTTATAGGCATGGTGCTCGAGGACAGGGCGGCGTCCAGGAGGGTTACCCCTTCCTGAATGTGGAAAGGCTGCCCCGCTCTGCCTGCCTCGCAACCTGACAAACCAGAAGGAATTTTCGTTTTTTCTTAAGTGGAAGGGATCCGAGGCATCGATCCTAAGTGCTGTGGCCGCGTTCTGATTCTTGCAAGGTCGGGACACATAACACGCATAATAACGTGGCCGGGTCTTCCCCTGTCTCCTGCGCCACCTGGACCGAAGGCTGCGGCGTGGCTGCTTCCTGCAGGGGCGCCGCCCGCTGCCCGCCCCCCGAGGGGGGCTTCCCCTGCTCCACGTCCTCACGCCACCCCTTCCCCAGGGTCTAGCTGGGCTTGCTCCCCGCTCTGGTCTCTGGGAGCAAGTGGCTGTGCCTGGGTCCTGGGGACAGACCTCTGTGGTCAGCTGGTCCAGGCCCCTGGGACCCCAGCCCCTCCCGCGGGCTTCCTGCTCCGCACAGGAAGGATGTGCCCTGCCTGGGCCTTTCCAGATCTTTCTGTCTGACAGGCCACAGGGGAGCCGTTCCTAGAGTGAGGACTTCTCCAGGATCAGTGCCTCCTTGAACAGAAAGTCCTTCGTGGAAAAAGAATCACTCGGGAAAGGAGACAGACAAGCCAGACAGACAGATGCCCCTACAACGTGGGCTGGATGGCCCGGTGTAGCCCCACCAGGACTGGTCTCAGAGGCCCTGGGTTCGGATCCCCGATGCCCCCTGGCTTGCTCTGGGGGACACTGGTCCAGTCTCAGTCTTCTCATCCTTAAAAGGGGACTGAGCACGCCTCCTCGGGCGGGCCGCGGGCCGCGGGGGAGGCAGCGTCACGGCTGCTGAGGCGCCTGACCGACTGTACATCCAGTGCTTCTCTCCCGCCCCAGAGGACAGTGCTGCCCCAGATAAGGCCAGGGACCTTGCCTGAGGTGGAAGGACACCGTGCAGGCTCCTCGATGACACCGCCCCACCCCGAGCAGAACCGATGTGTCTGCAGGATCCAACCCCCGCCCCCGTTTCCAAATGCGCTGATTCACCTTGACCAACCAACGTGTCGCTCCATTTCTGCAGCCACCTGCAGCGGGGCCTAGGGCTGCAGGAAGTGGTCGCCTGAAGAAAGGCCGGCTTTGGAGGATGTTCTGGCCGCTCAGGTTTTTCTCTGCTCCTGCGCTTAGAGAAGCTGCTGCTTGTGGTTTCGCGCTGACCCGTGCGAGCCCCAAACCAATGCAGTATGCGATCTCTTTGCAGAGCTCACCATTCCGTGTGTCCTTCCTGGGCTTAAGAAACAGAATGGGGGTGGGGGAGGGGGAGGAGGGTACGGGGCACAAACAGTGATGGAAGGAAACTCAGCTTGGTCTGGTGAACGCACAATGCAACATACAGATGACGTGTTATAGAACCACACACCCAAAACCTGTATAATTTTATTGTCACCCCATAAATGTTACCCCAATAAATGCAATAAAAAAGATAAAAGCTAAGACAGCATCAGACTGCAGTTTAATGTAAAATCATTACTTGAGCTTGATGGGGATGCAGAGTCGATCATGCTTGTTCATTTATTTACCCAGCGTTGACAGGGACCCCCCAGCTCCTAAGGCAGCCGAGGTTTCCCTGTTTTGCGGTTCGGTCAGACTCAAGCCCGCGGCCCCACTTCCCCGTGCGACGGGGTTCTGCTGGGCGCTGGGTCTGACTTTACGTTAACGGGGCTCAGCGTCCTGGGGCAGGTGGCTCTCCGCGCTCCTCTCCGTCCTCCCGAAGTATTTAGGGTGCCGTCCCCTCCTGCCTTGTCCCTGTGCTTGGTGCCAGGCCAACACCGCAGGTCCCTCTTGGTCCCAGGCCAACACCGCAGGTCCCTCTTCTCAGGTTCTTCCTGGGGATCAGCCATTCCTACGGGAAGGCAGTTCCGCACCCTCCAGCCAGCTCCGCGCGGCCTCGCCTTCCTGCCGTGTGCTGTCGCCGTGGACCCGTCGCCCCCGGGAGCCCTGTGATTTTGTATGTTACTCCACAGCTTTTTGTAGATTCCCAGGAATTTTCTGTGTAGACAATCATGTCACTTGAGAATAAGAAAGTATTTTTTTCTTTCCAATTTATGTGGCTTTTCTTTCTTTTCCCGGCCTTATTCCAGTGACTAGGACATCCAGTGCCACATTAAATAGGAGAGGTGAGAGGGGACGTCTTGTCTTCACTCCGTTCCTAGCATGGGGGGCATTCAGCCTTCCACCACTGAGAATAATGTCAGCTGTGGATTTGCGCGGGTAGATTGGAAAATTCCTTAGAAATCAGAACTGTTACCTCTGCTTCTTTCACTCTAAATCTACTTCTCAGGTCCCCTGTTCGTTAGTACAACTTGTTATAATTGTGCAGTGGATAGTCATTATTGTCTTTGCTTTAAAACATCTAGCCTGGCCATGAGTAAGGTAAGCGGTAGTCTATTTTGGTGGAGAATGCCGTGCACTGCATTCGCTGTTTAGAATAGCGGTGGCCAATTCGATTCTCCTGCAGTGCAAATACGCGGTGACCGCCGAGCGTGTCCCCAGCCATAGGCAGATGCAGGCTACGAGCCCTCTGGTGAGGCAGCCTGACGGGCCACTCCCACCAGAACAAGGGGTGTGTCTGTCAAGTGAAGAATGAAGAGACAAACCGTGGTGCACCTGTGCAAGGGGGCAGCGCTCGTCCATGAACAGGAGGGAAGCGCTGGTCCGTGCTGCCTCGTGCATGGACCGCAACACACTGCCCATGCCGTCTGTTGTCGGGTCCCCTTTACAGGAGATGTCCACAATAGGCCAGCCCAGGGACAGCAAGTGGATGAGCGACTCCAGGGGCTCCGGGTGGGGAGCAGAGGGGCCTGAGGTGGGAGCAAGGTGGGCAGTTAGTGAGCTCATGGGCCTGGGGCTCCCTTGGGAAGATGAAAATGTTCTAGAAGGAGATCGTGGCGATAGTCGCAAAACTCCTGACTGTGTTCAAACCTCTCGAACTGTACACTTTAAAAGGGGGACTTCATGGTGTGCAAGTTATATCTCAGTGGAACTGTTTTTAAAAGGACGGCAGAGTTCAATGAACGGGGAATAAGCACACTGAACAATGACTCGCCAGGGCGAGGGGCCTCCCCAAGCAGGTTCGAAGGGGCCGCCTCCAGAGAAGTGGGGCGGAGGGGCGGCTTCGGGGGGCGCCGCGGGCGGCAGGAGGGGCGGCTGACCGACGGCGCCTTGGGCCGAGGTGCCAAGCGTCTCAGATCTGGGTCGGCCACCTCCCTCCCCCCTCAACCGACACCCAGACCTTATAGGAAATTCCGGGCGGGACACTCCGGAAAGCTGGTGATTTCAGCAAAAAGCAGGGACGATCCCCAAGATAAAAAGGCAAAACAGGGAAGCCAAGGCGGGCGCGCTCCGCTGGTGATGTAGGGAAAGAAGTGGCCAGAATTAGCAAATACCCCTCCTGACCAGGAAACTGACTCTTTGTTTCTCTTTCTTTTTCAGACTATAGCCGGCATTTTCCCTGGGTAAGTACAAAATTCTAAGAAATCATTTCTGATGTGTAGCCAATGACCTAAAAAAGGAGGGGGGTTTGATTGTTAGAGAACATCGTCTTCCCGAGAGAGAAGGCCGTACGGTCAGTGTGTTACGCTAGAGTTTTAGGCCTTACCTTGTTCCTGCAGGCTCGCCCCACACTTCTGGGGGGGTGAGTGTGTGCGTGCGTGCGTTTGTGTGTGTGTGTGTGTGTGTGTGTGTGTGTGTGTGAAATCTGGCTCAGCTGTTCACATCCTGAAATGCACCGTTGAGAAAGCACTTTCCACCAGCTTTCCTTCCTCTGCCTTGTCCTGACTTCTCAAAGGGCATCGCCTTATCTGGGTGGCACACCCGATGACCCTCAGGGAGCCCAGTGGCACAAGATGGCACCGATGGCCGTTGGTCCTTCAACGGCCAGTGGTGGGGGAAACTGCTGAGAAGGAGTTTTTCTGGGTTGCATTTTTGGTGCAAAAAGAGAAGTGTCATCGTCCCAGAACTTTCTGCCTTTCGAGGTCAAGGCCGCTGCGTGTGGTCTTGATGTCTTGGTATTTAGAGGGAGAAACGTACTTTTTCTGTGTTCTACTTAGTCAGCTTCACAGGGTTAAGTTCCCTAAAGGAACTGAGGCAAGGAAACCTAAGCGCTTTCAAAGTGGCCGCGGCCTGTGGGCAGGTGGCACCTGGTCTGGCGTGATGGAGATGCTCACCTTTCGTGAGTGAACCAAGGTGTGGGCAAGTAGGAAGCTTATTTCTCAAAGGCGTCACCTGGCTTGAGATTCCCGGACTCTGCTCTGAATTATCCTAAGGTCAGGGGGTTGGTTATTTTGCCCTGAGTGGACTTCCCTTGGGGGGTGGCCTTCCCTTGGGGGTGGCCTTCCCTTGGGTGGCCTTCCCGGCACCGTGTCCCCTGGACGTAGGTGCTCATGGCCGTTCCTGGATGAGTCAACGCATTTTTGCTGCGTGGATGGTCGCTCTCTGGAAGGAATGCCAAACACAGTCAACAACCTATCAGGGCAGAGAATAGGAAAGTCTCCACGTGCCGCCTGCCAAGGCGGTTGTGTCGTCTCCCATCTCTGTCACAACGTCATCGGATGCTGTCCGTTCTGAATGGCATGATCTCCTTGCGCAAGTGTCGGCCGCGGGATCAGAGAGCAGGGTCCTTACTGGACCGACAGGCATGGAATGGAGACTTGGTGACAAGAGGCCTGCAGTCTCCGTTGCCTTCGGTGCCCAAACAAGAGATGCCGACTCACTGGCACGGGTTTGAGTGGCTCTAGGACGCACTCCTCCACAGCGGGGGCGCCCCGGCGCCCAGCAGACCAACCCTGGAGGCAGCGGGTGGGGCGGCCGGGGCGGGTGGGGGTCCGCGCTTCCCCGCCACGCTGGCAGGAGCTGCCGGAGGGCCGGGCTGCACCGACGTGTCTCCTCCCGAGATACAGGTCTCCCTTCGGCTCCCTGGCTCTTGGCCCAGCACTGGCCCCTGCCCACCTGTCTGGGATTGCCAGCCTCTTGGCTAGCTGACCGGCTGCCGTGACTGAGCAGCTGCCACCCTGTGCCCTGTGCTCCTGAGGCTCCCCACCCCCAGTGTCGTCTCAAAGCCAGGGACAGGTTCAGAAGCTGGTCCGCCATCCAGAGGTGATGGAGTGCTCGTCTGGGAGTCAGCTTCCCACCGCTGTTCCTGCCAAAGGTGCTGGGAGCCAGAGCTGCTTGGGGCGGCGGCGGCGCCCTGTCCTCGGGCCCGGCCTCGGCCTCCTTGTCGTTAGGATAGTGGAGTTCTGCTCTAGGCAGCAGGGAGCGAGTTCCCGGAGGAAGACATGCTTCTGATCTCAGGAGCTCGCTGTCTCGGAGACAAGGGAGCGGTTCTGGGAACACGGACCCCCACCCGCCCCGCCCGCCCCACCCGCTCCTCCAGGGTCAGTCTGCTGGGCATCAGGGCGGACGGAACCTCAGATCGGCCTCCAGCCCACGGCGGTTTCACGGCTGAACCCCTGAGGCTTGTTGCAGAGCATCAGAGTTTCAACTAACAGGAAAGAATTTATTTCCACTGTGCGGAATTAGAAACTTGCTTTGGCGTCCATTAGAATTAAATGGATAGCTCACCTGGGAGCGGGGTGGGGCGGGGGAGAGCCAGCGCCCTGCAGTTGGAGCCTGTCCCCAGCCTCCGTCCACGGGTGGGCTGGCTGCAGAGGGGCCCAGCGGGCACCTGCTGGGCGAGCACGCGAACTGTGCCCCCTCCTGTCTGTCAGTCACTTCCTAGGATTGTTGCGGCATTGAAGTGCGGTGACCCAAAGTAAGAGCTTAACGTCGTTACTGTTAATAGTGTCACAAAATTATGGCGGTTGTTTACAGCTTTTAAAGAAGGCGTTCAGTGGGCAGCAGTGTGTGCGCCAGTACCACCATGGATTCAAAAGGACCTTCCCTTTCTACCAGTAAACGCTGGTTTTTCATTGAATAGGCCAATACTACGTTAATTTTTGTTCGTTTTTTTAAGTTAAAGTTCCCTGGTTAAACTGGATTAGGAGGAGTCTTTTCAGCACAGCCACCCCTTCTCGCATTTTTCTTTGTATTTAAAAATAAACTTGATAAGTTATACTCCCCCCGTTCTTACCGATCACCTGATAGGGACCGAAGTTCCGCCGACTGGACAGTGCTGGCCGCTCTGGGGCTCTGGGTGCACAGCATTTAAATAATGCCGTGGAACTGCCGAGTTAGGAATCTCAGAAGGCTCTTAACAAGGTTTAAATATTTTCTCCAGGCTCCCCGGGGCCTGTACTCTTGCATGCAAGGGTATCCCCAATAAGTAAGATTACATGATCCTGTAACTTGACTCTTTCACGTTGCCTCGTGGAAATACCAAAGGAACACCAGAAAACTAAAGTAAGGGCTGAGTTTAAATTTAACCTAGAATATTCCCGCACCAGCCTGGTCCTCTGGAATGACCCATGCGTCCTCCTCCATCCGTTTCAACCCGTGGGACTTTTGTCTTCCAAGTCATTTTTCTTCCTTGGTGCTGGACTGAATGGCCACCGTGTCGGGGCGGGGGATGGGGGAAGGAACCGGCAGTGCCCCAGGGAAGTGGGGCGTGCCGGTCAGGTGCACCGCCGCGGCCGCGCTCGCCGCCCCGCCCCCCGGGCCTCGGCTCCATGGGCGCCGATGGACCGCACTCCGTGTCCCGTGCGTCTGCAGAAAGACACCGACGGTTCAAACACTTTCTCCAAGATCCGATTCCTGTTTCCTTCCTCGGCCCTGTTCTTGGGTTTTGAGGAGCATCCGTGGGTTCCACAGGCGTCCTCTCTGAGCAGACAGGGCTGCTCCCCGCAGAGACGCCGGTCGCCGGGAGACTGAGGGAGAAGCGGATGCCACTTGGAGGCACACCGTGTCTGGGTCTGACGGCTCCTCTGCCCGGCAGATGAATCCCTCACTTATTTCCATTCCCACTCACCCCCCAGGAAAGTTCCAACATTCTTCCAAGAAGTGCCTCTTGAAGGAATCTGCTACATCATCGTTTGTCACTCTGCAAAGGCCTGGACTTCGGGGTCATAGTTTCCATGGGGAGGGACGGGGCCCCAGCTCTCCTATATAAACCCACGCCTCGTCCCGGGCGCCCGGCAGACCCCTGCAGCGCCGGGCGCGCCTTCCAGAAATCCCCTGGCGGCTGACAGACAGGAAAACATGGATCCTCGCCGACCAGGATGGCTCCCCAGCGGCATCCCAGGAGGAGGAGAGGTAAAGGGAGGCCGCGAGGAGGGCCTTTCTGGTCGTGTGGGATCTGTGTGGTGGCTGCATGGGGTAAAATCATAAGGGACTTAAAAATCGGGTTAAAGGATATTGCCAGGAAGCTCTCATGGAGCAAGGACCTGGCAGACGGCTCTGTCCACCTCGCCCAGCCCCCGCAGGAAGTCTGTGTGTGGGCTCCAGGAAGCCCTGCGCGACCAGCCCGGCCCGGCCAGCCAGCGCCCGGGAGAGCGGGCCGCCGGGCTGGCGGGCTGCCAGGAACCCATGGGCGGGGGGGGGGGGGGGGGGGCGGCACCTCAGAGGAGGACGGTCCCCAGCCGTGTTGGGCCCTGGGCTGGCTAGATGACACAGCAAAGTCCCACCCGTTTTAAGATGGACGCTTCCTATTTTTATCATCCCAGCCGCTCTCCTTTTCCTAACAGCAGGATTTGTGAAGTGACATTTTAGTTCCCAGCGATGGGGTGAGCAAGTGGGAGGGGCCAGGGGGCCAGGGCGGGGCCGGTCCTTAAGGGGCCTGTGCTCAGGGCCTGGAGGCAGGGCGGTGCGCCCCTTGTTGCCCTTGATGGCAGTGGCCGCAGGTCCCGGACGCCCGAGGAGCGGCGTCACTCACACTGGGCAAGGGAGAGAGGGAACTGGTCACAGAGAGATCCCTCGGCCCCACAGAACCCCAGATTCGGGAATGAGTTAGGGTGGCCAGGGGCTGGCCCATGGCCAGTCCCCATTTGCTTTGGGGAATCGCCCCCAGCTTCTGTCCCATCGACTAGGGGGCGTCCCCGTGCACATTGGGACATGGAACCACCGGAGATTAGATGCATTGGGTTTAAAAATTTCCAGTTAGCAGTGACTTTTAAAATCTGCTTATTATGATGCCGAGTTTAGTATAAAGCATTTAAAACGTGGGAGAAGGAAAGGGCGTGGCGTGCTGAACAAAACAGGCCACAGAATGGATTCTCTGAGTTGCTTTTCTTCTCCTTGTTTTGAATAGAAGTGAGAATAAGCAAAAAGCAAAACTGGCATTTTTGTTATTTTATGATGGAGGCTGAATGAATTCTAACAACTTTAAAAAAAAATACGTTGACAGTATTTAACGGGTTTCAAGCAACTCTACCAAAACTGATCTGCCATCAGAAAGGGTGCCATTTCAGGTGCTACATGGCACTTTTTGAAAGCTTCTGTGTGTTCCCATGTCGCTGCAGAAAAATTAATTTTTTAAAAAATGTCATGTAGATGGAACTGTTTAGTCACTGAAAAAAACAGGACC